AGAGAGAGAGAGAGAGAGAGAGAGAGAGACAGTAACACATAATGAAATAAAAACATAATTAAGATTAAGCAGATAAAACTTTAACTTCGATTAAAACTCAAGTACAGACGACAGGGATGTCAGAAATAAGAGACCCTCCTTTATCAGCTGTACAGAAAAGTGTGAATGTTGCTAAAACTGTATCAGTCAAACCAATTACAAGATCATTTCTTACACAAAACACCAAATTGAAGGCTCGTGGGTGTGTATGTCCCTAAAAATAGCCAATTTTTTTCTCCTCAATGGATAAGCAAAACCTAAATCCTTGCACAATAAGAAGAATATTCCATTGTTTTATATTACAGAATGAACAAAACCCCTGCAAACACAAAGACGAGTCGTTTTGACCGTGCTCCAGACATGGACTGCAGCAGTTCCAACAGCAACCAGTACATGCCCCCCAAAGTTCCCCTCAATGGGTAAAACTTGCTTCATTTGACCTAGACGGGTCACTATTAGTAGCCTTTAAATAACGTTAGGTAACCTTTAAATAATCACATCAAGAAAACTGGACATTTTAAAGTGCTTAGAATATAAAAAAATAAACATTCGATGACGTCATATTTTGGGTCACATGACCTGATGCCCATTTGCTGAGCTGAGGCGCGGCTCCGCTGAGCAATGCATGGACATGCATTTTCTAAACCGCATTAACACCCATGCAACCGACTGTCAAATAACCACTTTGGTTATTTCTGATTTTGAAACAAGAACACCCAAATAATCATTAGACTACAATGAAGGTGTGGTTTTAGATGTTTCAGTAATAATAATAATTGGCAAACTTTAGGTAAAATGTTTGCATATTTTTGTATAAACCTTTTTTTTGCATTACAGAATGATCAAAGCCCCTGCAAACACAAAGATGAGTCGCTTTAACGTCGATCCAGACATAGACAGCAGCATTTCCAACAGCAACGAGTACACGAGTTATCAGCACTGTCCCACCAAAGTTCCCCTCAATGGGTAAAACTTGCTTCATTTGACCTGGAGACGAGTCACTATTAGTTAATAAACCTTCCCTTATGCTGATCTAATGCACTGATGTGCTTACAGAATGCAATATACCGATGTGGACGCAGAAAGTCAGAACTTCCTCTCTGATCATCAACTGGGCAAGAAGAAATACGAAGCTGAATATGTAAGTGGTTGATCTGGTCTGAGAGGTTTCATCAGATACTACCGTTTCACACACATAAATATCACTGTTCCTGTTTTTCAGAGCCCTGGTTCAGCATCGTTCGGGATGTCGGTGTTTAACTTGGGCAATGCCATCATGGGAAGTGGAATCCTGGGACTTTCCTATGCCATGGCCAACACTGGCATTGCCATGTTTGTGTGAGTATCGTGCTTCTTTATATCCGTACTGCCAAAAACATCAGTTTTAAAAATGTACATGCACATTTGCATAAGCTGATACCACCCAACTTTCCTAGTTAGTTCTAGTTAAAAGAGTTAGCAGTGAGTTTGGGAGTATTCTAATCTGTGAACACAATATACACAAATGTGATTTACACGAGTGCTAATTACCTGATTAGGCAATTAGTGCCGTTAATGAGAACAGCAGTTTGCCTCAGATTCTGGTCGGTGTAAATCTGCTTCAGCTCTGGGGAAGCAAGTAAATGCAAGCCGTGCTTCATCTTAATGTTTACAAACAAAGCCGTATGTGTTAATCTGGTGATAGAGGAGTTTCCGCCGGTTATGTAAAGGTGTTGCAGGTGGAGCAATGCTGCATTTTTAAATCGAATCCAAATCTCCAGGAATCCATCAAAGAACGACTTGAATGATTTCTTACGCAACCGAAATGAGATTTCCAGTGTGCACAGAATAATCCTAATGATTTAAATCAGAATTTGATTCAATGCATTGAGGAAAACCTTTACTGTGCGGTTAAGGAAGGGGTTAAATCACAAAGATGTGACCGTCAGCTCCAGGCACGTGAAGTGGAAATCTACTGAAGGTCACGTAGGTTGCAACAAGATCAAGCGAGCTCCAGACAGTGGAATGAATGAGTGTGTGAGAATGTAATCAAGTCTAATCCATAGACACCTCCCTCTATTATGAACACATGTGTGTGAGTGTGTGTGATCGTGTAGTCTATGAACAGAATGTACACAAAGGTCCCAAAATGACCTGATTAGAATAATTAGTGCTGTTAAGGAGTACAGCAATTTTCCCCAGATTCTGTTCAGTGTAAATCTGGTGCAGCTGACCTGAGTCAGTCGGTTCGGCTCTGGTGCAGGAAGTAAATGCAAGTCGTGCTTCTTCTTAGTGTTTACAAACAAAGCCGTATGTGTTAATCTGGTGATAGAGGAGTTTCCGCCGGTTATGTAAAGGTGTTGCAGGTGGAGCAATGCTGCATTTTTAAATCGAATCCAAATCTCCAGGAATCCATCAAAGAACGACTTGAATGATTTCTTACGCAACCGAAATGAGATTTCCAGTGTGCACAGAATAATCCTAACGATTTAAATCGGAATTTGATTCAATGCATTGAGGAAAACCTTTACTGTGCGGTTAAGGAAGGGGTTAAATCACAAAGATGTGACCGTCAGCTCCAGGCACGTGAAGTGGAAATCTACTGAAGGTCACGTAGGTTGCAACAAGATCAAGCGAGCTCCAGACAGTGGAATGAATGAGTGTGTGAGAATGTAATCAAGTCTAATCCATAGACACCTCCCTCTATTATGAACACATGTGTGTGTGTGTGTGTGTGTGTGTGTGTGTGAGTGTGTGTGTGTGTGTGTGTGTTCGTTCGCAACTTGACTCATCACAGACAGTCGATTATGTCCAGTTGTCGGTGGAGCGAACGCTTGAGGTCATCTTAATTTAACACTGAAAGTCAACATGAGCTTTCTGTTTTTCTTAATGCATATTCCTGGACTTTCTGTGCACAGTTTGGTGAAAATGCATCCATCCAATCAATCGCAGTCTTGTCTCACTGAGATAAAATGCTGCTTCATGTTGACGTTTAGTGTTTAAAGAGAGCGTTGCAACCCATGAGAGAGTTTGAGAGCGATTTTAATAATTAAGTGTTTTTGTTCATTTCTGTAGGATCCTGCTGGTTGCCGTGGCCATTTTCTCCCTCTACTCAGTCCATTTGCTGCTCAAAACGGCCAATGAAGGAGGTTAGCTTCTCTCTGTGCTGCTATGTTTCTATTTTTAACCATGATAAGTATGAGTTTTAATGCTCTGCCTCCTCCGTCCAGGTTCTCTGGTGTACGAACAGCTGGGGTACAAGGCCTTCGGGATTCCCGGCAAACTGGCGGCGTCCTGCTCTATCACCATGCAAAACTTCGGAGGTACGACTAGTAATGTGAACCCAGCTAACAGGAAACATTCTCACAACTTTCACTAGCTTTTTTTTTATAAATGTGAGGACAAAATATTCTTAAAGTAATGGTTACGGAACTTTCTTGTAGCTTTCTTAATATTCAATATACGTTCTCGTAATACTGAGAGAAAATATGTAGTTGATGAACATTCTAAGAAACATTTTTGTAACCTTCAATCAACAAGAAAACTAGACATTTTTACATTTTAGAATATAAAAAATAACGTATTTTGTGATAAGTTTATCAAATGCTGCAAGAAACACACTTGTAACCTTTAAATAACATTATAATCACGACGAGAAAGGTTTAGAATGTTAAAAATAAACATTTAAAAACATTTTATTTTCAGTGAAAATAGAGTTAATAGACATTTTAAGAAATGTTTTAGAATATAAAAAGATCAAATAACGTATTTTGGGTACAAATAAAATTGCAAGAAACATACTTGTAACCTTTAAATAGCATTATAATCACGACAATAAAACTGGACATTTTAACGTTTTAGAACGTTAAAAATAAACATTAAAAAAAAACATTTGATTTTCGGTGGAAATCGAGTTAATAGAACATTCTAAGAAATGCTTTTGTAACCTTCAAATAACGTTATAATCTTAACAAGAAAACTGGACATTTCAACATTTTAGAAACATTTCCAAACAATGTTCCCACAATGTTTTTATAACCCAAATTTGTTACCTGGAAATGTGCAGATAGCAAGTGATATTTTGGTTTGTTTTAAGGCGCTAAAATGTTTTCAAACTCTCTTTCAATCCCAGCTATGGCAAGCTACCTCTACATTGTGAAGTACGAGCTCCCCATCGTCATTAAGGCCTTCTTGGACAGCAATGACAAGTAAGATTTCATTTATTTCCGTCACATGTGCGCTGATGTCCGGAGCTGTGCGAGGACTGGACAGCACAGGCTGATGCTGTTGTTGTTGTGCTGGAATGTTTTCCAGCTCTGGGCAGAACAGTGTGAGCGCTTCATTGTACAGCTGTTCGATCGGGGGGGTCTGAGTGTCTGTTCACAGACGTAGATTGAGAGCTTTGTGACAGTGACCCAATACAACAAACACTGACATGAAAGATTAAGACCCCTACATGGAGCCCAAAGCCACAAGACAGAAGTGAAACATGCTCTAGAGTTTTGTGTTTGTGAAAGAGGATGTTGCAGAGCAGCTGCGTGTCATTCCCTCAGCATGCTAATATCGATGTCTGTGGTGTGTTTTGCAGCTCGTGGTACACTAATGGAGATTATCTGGTGCTGATCGTCACTATGGCTATCATACTGCCGCTCTCGCTGCTTAGAAACCTGGGTAAGTGTTCCCAAATGCAAAGTAATAAAATTATACCCCATTTTTAAAAATTTATTTTATTTATTATTTACAAAATTATATTTTGCATACAGAAAATTAAGCTTGTTCCCTGTAAAACCATAAAATACAGTTAAAGATGCTTCATTTACTTTACAATTATTTTTATAATATTAAATAGAATTATTATAGAAATAGAAGTAATTCTATTTTAGGGAAAAAAACATTTGTATAAAATATGAGGCTGAAGTGACTTAATAATAGATATTTATAATATAATAGATTATTATATTATTAAGAAAATAATACATAAAAGTATTATAAAAATGGTAACATTATAAATAAATAATATACAAATTAGCATAATACAATTATAGCAAACAATGATTATATATGAGGGTGAAATGTGACCGTTTTCATGTTCATCATGAATAACAACAAATAATAAAACATGTTAATTATAAATATATAAAATTATTATTATAATATATATATTATATTGTATTATTATAAAAAATGTTACACAATTTGAGAAAAAATATATAATATATTAGGGTGATATGTGGCAGTTTTTGTGAAAATAATAAAATTATGAACAAAATAAATGCAACCATTACTATAATTAACATTTTTACTATTTATTATTATTATTATTATTATAAAATTTTTAAATTACAAAAAAAAAAAATATATTATACAAATAAATTTAGTGTAATTTTAGAAAAATTAAATGTGGGTGACTTAAATTTTAGTGTGGTTTATGTTGATCCTTATGGTTTGTGTTTCATTTCAGGTTATCTGGGATACACTAGCGGTTTCTCCTTGTTGTGCATGGTGTTCTTCCTGATTGTGGTGAGCACTGAGATAAATTGCTCAGTTTTACTTAAATTGCTCTTGTTTAACATAGAAATAAATATGCAGATGAAAGCAAGAGTGTCATTGGAGCTGCTATTGTTAGTCTGATGAGACGATCCCTCCTGCTTTTGTTCTTCAGGTGATCTACAAGAAGTTCCAGATCCCCTGTCCGTTACCGGAGAACTTCATTAACATCACAGTGAACGTCTCTCAGCCGCAGGTCAACACTACTGATGAAGAGTGCTGCAAACCCAAGTACTTCGTCTTCAACTCACAGGTACGAGACGGATATTTGCATTCGGATATTTGCATTTGAGTGAAAGGAGTGTGTGGTGATCGAACTTTATTGTTTTATCTTAGACTGTGTATGCGGTGCCCATCCTGACCTTCGCGTTTGTGTGCCACCCGGCTATTCTGCCCATGTACGAGGAGCTCAAAGAGTGAGTGCGACTTTAACACTTACAAATAAAATACTTAATCGCTACAGGTTGCTTTTTGTGAGTTCAACCTCACTATACAAAGTAAACTAACTCTTTCTCTACCTCTCTCTCTGCAGTCGTTCCAGAAGGAAGATGCAGAACGTTGCAAATGTCTCGTTCCTGGGAATGTTTGTCATGTATCTGTTGGCTGCTCTGTTTGGATACCTGACCTTCAACGGTGAGCAAAACGCAGACGCGCGCCCACATCAGAGCCTGAATGTCTTCCAAACACGTGTTACGACACATTTTATAGTCCAGTGGCAGGTTGAAATATACAGTGAGGCAGTGTTTGTTTTAAACGGAGGTGTGTCTGTTAGAGCGCACCGGATTGAACCGGCAGCAAGCCAGCATTGAGTCTCTCCACGGCTCCGGTCGGTTTCGCAAGATTCGGGAAAGAGTCTGAGGCGTTCAGCTGTTTGCCGCAGCAGGAATAGAACATCATGTTTGATGTTTTTAAGTTTCCCTGAAAGACAGGAAATGTTATGCAACGCAGGGATTTCTCAGACTCGGCAAATGGAAAAATAACATTTTTGTGGGATAGTTTGTTTGATGTGCAGGACAAAGTTACAGTGAATTTGTTGACAATAAGCTGTGTTTTTCACCATTCAGAGCAGGGCTACTAAAACTAAACCTTAAAAAACATGTTTGTTACTTGAAATAAAATAAACATTGACTGAAAAAAATAATAACATTACAAAAAAAAAGCTAGTTGGCAGGGTTACATTTCTAATTGTCATATATGGTCATTTTATTTCTTAGTTTATTTCTTTAGTTGTTAAAGAACCAAAATAACTAAAACTACAACTGAAAATAATTAAATAAATAAAACTACTAAAAATGACAATAACACAACAAAAATGACTAAATCTTTAAAATTATAAAAATATAAAAAGAAAATATTAATAAAAATTATCGTCTCAACTAACAAAAATATGTTCTAAGTACATTTTACTACAGTTTACATTAAGTTATGAAAACACTATTTCTGAATGTTTTCTAAATGTTCAAAATGTCAATTTTTTTACATTTTAAGAAATGTTAATCCTTGTTATGCAAAAGTTAAGGGAACATTCCGTTTGATCATTTTTGAAAACAATTATATGAACGTTACTTTTAAATGTTCTCTGAGCATTCTGAAACGACATGTAACTTTTAAAAACCGTTCGACAAACAAGAAAAAAAAAACATTCCATAAACAATGTATAGATTATGTTTTTGTAGTAAGTCTGAACTAAACATGGTTTATTCCGCAGAGGCCGTTGAACCCGAGCTCCTGCACACTTACTCAAAGGTCTACAATTTCGACGTGGTGCTTCTGATCGTGCGTTTTGCCGTCCTGACCGCCGTGACGCTGACGGTGCCCGTGGTTCTCTTCCCAGTGAGTATTCCAGCACATTTACAGGTGTGGAAACAGACAGAAACATTGCAGGAGTGTTGACTTTTTTTTTTTTTACGTTTCAGATCCGCACCTCAGTCAACCAGCTGCTCGGCGCCTCCAAAGATTTCAGCTGGCCTCGTCACATCTGCATCACCGTCGCTCTGCTCGTCTGCGTCAACATCCTCGTCATCTTCGTTCCCACCATCAGAGACATCTTCGGATTCATCGGTAAGTGGGACACAGGAAGTGATGTCATTGCGCGTGTGTGTGCCAGTGTTATTGTAATATCATATATTGACCCTGGAGCACAAAAGCAGTGTTAAGTCGCTGGGGTATATTTATAGCAATAGCCAACAATACATTGTATGGGTCAAAATGATTGATTTTTCTTTTATGCCAAAAATCATGAGGACAAGTTAATGTTTTAATTAAGTAATTTATGTTCCATAAAGATATTTTGTAAATTTCCTACTGTAAATGTATCAAAACTTAATGTTTGATTAGTAATATGCATTGCAAAGAACTTCATTTGAACAACTTTAAAGGCGATTTTCTCAATATTTAGATTTTTTTGCACCCTCAGATTCCAGATTTTCAAATAGTTGTATCTCAGCCTTTCATAACAAACCATACATCAACGGAAAGCTTATTTATTCAGCTTTTATATGTTTCAAAAATTGACCCTTATGACTGGTTTTGTGGTCCAGGGTCACATTTAATTTTTTATAATTTAATATTTTTTAGTAATTTTATTTTAAAACATTAATATGTAACCTCTGAACTGCATTATACAATTTTAGTATCATTAATAATAAAATAATATATCTTTCTGCTTTATTTAAATTTTTTAAGTTTTAGTAATTTTGTTGTTTTTGTCGTTTTAAAAATACATATATAAAGTTTTCAATAATCTGTAAATTTTAGTTGTTTTACTACTTCAACCAAAAAAAATTAGAAATGTTTCCTTTTCAAAAAGCTGAAAAGCTTTTTTTTTTCAGTTTTTTTTTTTTTTTTTTAATACGTTTAAAATATTTTATTTGATTTCATGTTTTTTAATATGTCTCTATAGTTTTTATTAATTACTATTTCAGTTTTAGTTATTTTAGTAATAATAAATTAGAAATGTTACCTTGTCAACAAACTGAAATAAAATAAGCTTAGGTTTTTTTTTTTATATTTATATCTAAGTTTTTTATTTACAGCTTTTATATCAATATTTTTCTTTTATTTCAAGTAACAAAAATGTTTTAAATGTGTTTTTGGCCTCCCTGCAGGTGCGTCCGCTGCTGCTATGCTGATCTTCATCCTTCCCTCGGCCTTCTACATCAAACTGGTGAAGAAGGAGTCCATGAAATCTGTCCAGAAGATCGGGGTAAGACATGATCTGACCGAACACGTGTGTTCTTGACCTGCGATCGACTCAGTATGTCTCATCACACTCTCCTTCTTCTCAGGCGACTTTGTTCCTCATCGTGGGATTCATGGTGATGATCTGCAGCATGGCTTTGATCATCGCAGACTGGATCCACAACGCAGCATCTTCAGGCGAGCACGCCGACGGCCACTAGTGGGCGTGTCCTAACCCTGATTGACAGGCAGATGGGCGGAACTGAGCCGCTTACACTGCAACTGAGAACTAGAAGAAGCTGCTCAATTTCCAGCACAGAGCAAAGACAAACATCCCATTCTGAGAGAATGTCCTGAACTTTGTACAGTATGCTGTTAGGCCACACAGATGGTGATCCACTCGTATTGTTGTGCTTCTTTTTTTGGTTGATTTGCTTTTCTTTTGTGTTGTTCTTCCGGTACAGCTGAGTTTTCAGTGGTACGTCGCACACGTGCATCATTCTCTGTTTTCAGGTTAGGCGTTTCGTACTCACAACCAAAACTGATTTCACGATCAACACTGAGCGGAGCGTCGCCTGCAGATGCGTGTTCGAACCGTTTGTACCTTTGCCAAAAATATTGGTGTTTGTATGTAGAAAAGCACTTACTCTTTTTTCAGCAAATGTGAAAAAACTGTAATTTTGCACATCTTGGCTGTGCTTTAAACGCATTCGTTACGATGCCATTTATACTGTACTACTTGAGTCACCTTTACCTGTCGTGTAGATCTACTAATGAACAAATATTGATTTGTAGTTGTTGATTTCAGACAGGTGGAACGGCTGAATGAATTTACTGTAACTTATTTAAACCCTGAAGACAACGATGGGTGCTTCACAGTCAACATGAGACGCAGCTAACAGGGAATGTTTGCAGAACGTTCTAGCAAAGGTTATTAACAAACTTGAACAGAACGTTCGTTCCAAAAATGTTAAAAGAACCTTCCAGTAACGCTAATAGAACGTTCGTTCAAAGTTGGACGTTACTGTAACATTTTTTAAATGTTGCAGCTTGTTTCAGAACATTCAGAGAACATCCAAAAGTAACTTTCCCATAATGTTTGCAAAATGTTCAGAAATAACATTTTTATCATCAAAACTACACATTCTTGGTCTAATGATGAACATTTCATCCTTGCACATTATCTGAAATGGCTGCTCAGCTGACGTCACATCGAAATGATGTTTACCAGCAGTCAAATAACTACTCATTCATTGTTTTTGACTGTTTTAGGTTATTCAGCTTTTCTAAAACATTAATACAAATGCACTAATAGCGAATAATGATTAAAAAAAGAGTTGAATATCCTGTTTCACTCTAACATTTGTCACATTACAGAAATAAACGAGTAGCTGGTTGTCGCTTCATGTTGACTTGAAAGCTTGACCGTATGATTGTCAGTTGTTTTGCTTTGTAAACCGCAGAATCGAATGGCAGAACGTTGTTGCCGAGGGGAAAAGAGACCATTAGTGTTTAACTTGACTTACCTTTTCAGTGTTTGCCATCGGCAGCTTGAAGTTACGCCATGAACGAGAGACGATTGACTGACAGACAGAGGAGTGTGTGTCGTCCACTAATCAGCTGTTATTAGTGTGGTGAATGGAGAGGTCATGTGACCACCGTCTCTCTCACACACACACACACACACACTGTGCTTCCAACAGCTAAACCTCATGTGTCATCCAACATGTTACTCTCCAGCCGTTATTTATGGAAAAACATCAGTGTAATTTAATCTATTTTACTATATTTATATATATATATATATTGTACATATGTGTATATACCACAAATGAAGTGTATATATGCTGTCGTTCATTCTTGTTATTTTCTCAATTTTACTCAACATGTTTGAAATATTAAAATGGCTTTAGATGTCCCTAGGTGTGTGTCGGGGCCCCTGATCGGCCCCTCTTCATCTGGCTGTGAATGTCAAAGTGAGCACACGGTTCCTATAGGCTTGTGATCGGCCCTGACACACACACACCTTTCACCTTACTACTAAAATGCTGTACTCAGACCCGAGAGGGGTGAAGCGCTCCTCATGTACAAGAGGCCATTCCTGCGAATGATACGCTCTTGTTTCAATGAAACACTATGTATATCATGTAATTAATGTCTATTAAAGGTTCATGATAACCCATCTATGTGTCCTTGAGATATTTGATAGAAATCTCTTATTGTTCAGGCATGAGACTTGTCAAGTACACATCGAACCTACTGTTTTATATATTTTTTCTTTGTTACATACAGTATATGGTCACACTAAATATTTCAGGGTGTTAAAAGTACATTTATTGTTTATTGAATGATTTTGTCAGTGGCATTACACAGCATTTATTTAAAACGATTTTTGTTTTAAATAAATGCTGTTCTTTTTCTGTTCCAAAAAAATATTAAGCAGCACAACTATTTTAAGTATTTTAAAATAGAAAACCATTATTTTAAATAGTAATACAATATTACTGTTTTTTCTGGATTTTTGGTCAAATAAATACAGCCTTGATGAACAGAAGAGACTTTTTTAAAACATTAAAAATCTTACTGATCCTAAACGTTTTGAACAGCAGTGTGTGTGTGTGTGTGTGTGTGTGTGTGTGTG